CTCCACAGACCAAAATGTACCCTGTGATGGAGTCTATGACGATATGGATCAATGTTGTGGCTCTTTCCCTGTTAGCTCTCATCACACCATCCGACTGGTTTGTTCAGTTGGTGTCGCTGATCTCCGCGGCGGATGAGTTATCCGCACTGCTGTGGAATTCGTCCATTGATCGGGCACGGGATATTTTAAGCGCGTACGTGAAATCCATTGTGAGTCCAACCCATGATGTGTATTTTGTTGGCCACGGCCTCGCAGGGGCAGCAGCGGCGTTTTTTGTCTCAGACTTACCGGAGAATGTGCATAGCGTGACATTTGCATCGCCACTGAGCGCGGTTGCGTGGCGCCGTGGCCATAATTGGATCTCTGATGAGTTGTCCAGCCGTGTTTTGTCTGTTGTGTCGTCCTCCTCTGTGTTTTCGCTGCGTTGGATGTGGGGGGGACTGTCGTACATGATACCATGCAATTTGCCTGAGGGTGAATGTCGCAACATTGACTCGATGGCACGGCTATTGGATGCGCTTTGCGGCTTGAATACAAAGTCAGACGGGAATTAAAGTCTTGAAGGGAGAGTCCCGTGGAACAATATGTTTCCTCCTTTGCTAGAGTTTCACTGCGTACGCAAAATAAAGGTCATTAACCATGAAGAAGAAGAAAAAATATACATACATACATACATACATAAGAGTAAGAGAAAAAAATGAAAAAATAAAGCGAAATGTGCGTTGAAGGGAAAAAGCTGGTTGACTGTTGTGCTGTTCCATTCAAGGAAAAAAAATAAAAAAAAAAAAATTGAACTTTGTTTATATTCCTCTTGCTGAATGTGTCTGTGTACAATGTTTCCTTCTTACCATACATTTATAATATTTATGCCTGTTGCCTGATCCTTTTTTTTTTCTTTTACCTACATATATTTGGATTAGTTTGTTAGTCTTCTTTACGCAGTCGGTGGTGTTGATTCCCACCTTGTTGTTGTGGTAAACTTGTTTACTTTGTAGTTGTTGTTGTTGATGGGCGGTGGCGTCTCAACGAGGAAACAAATGCAGGACGACAGGAACGTATGGAATTCAGCCAAACGCGTTCATATTTCTCCGCGTTTTATAGAGGATGAAGTGAAGGCGATGAATGATGTCACACCAGCGTTACTCGCCACAAACACCTCACTCGACTCCCCTGCTAAGGCCGCACATTTTACCTCCACACGAGAGGCCTTCACGCGGGACGATCAATCTTCTCGGAATGAGCGAAGGGGGCAGTGCGGGTTGCGCCAGTCCGCGCCGTCGTCTCAAAATCTTTTCCAAAATTTTGAGTTCCTCTCCCGTGAGTTGAGGCAGTTTTCTTCAAGACGACGAGCGGCGTCTACGTCACTCAGTGGGAACACCTCGTCACCGCAATTGCCGTCTATTCGTGAGCTCCCGGGAATCGTTCAGAACGTCACACCGCAGGCCACCAGAGGGACGTCGCTTAGTCCGCGCGTGAAGCTGCTCTCATGTCTTGTTGCCATGGAGGAGAATTCCAGGGTTATGTCGCCGGCGTCGGCGGCGGCTTCAGTGACTTCTTTGCGTAGATTAAATGAGGGCAATTCACGCCGTGCCTCCATGCCGTCACAAAACGCAACACCCGCCGCGCGGACACGAGGAGGCCGCATTAGAGTTGTGGTGCGCAAGCGGCCTATGATGGCTGATGAAATGGGGAGTGATTGCGTTTCGGTGGAGTCGCCATGGGTCCATATCTCCGTCAAGAAGTTGCGCGTTGATCTGACGGACTATGAAGACGTGAATGAGTTTATGTTTGACGATGCTTTTGCGGAGGACCAGAAGAATGTGCATGTCTTCGAGCGCTGCAGCAAAGATTTGATCGCCACAACACTCGACGGCGGTAGCGCCTCGTGCTTTGCGTACGGCCAGACTGGCAGTGGCAAAACGCACACAATGCTTGGGAATGAACAGGAAAAGGGCTTGTACCTTTTGGCCGCGGCGGAGTTGTTTGCGCAACTGACGCCGGAGCACGAAGTTTACGTATCTCTGTATGAAATTTACTGTAACTCCCTTTTTGACCTTCTTATGAACCGCACCCCCGTCGTTGTGCGGGAGGATCACAACCACCGAGTCAACATCTGCGGGTTGTCGTGGCACAATGTGAGCTCCGCGGAGGAGTTGTTTTTGCTTATTAGCAGTGGTACCGACCAACGCCGCACTGGAAGCACGAGCGCGAATGAACGCTCTAGTCGCTCCCATGTAGTTTTGACAATTCGGGTTTTTTGCCGCAAGGACGCATCGTTCTGCGGAACACTGAACTTTGTTGATCTCGCCGGCAGCGAGCGGGCATCGGAAACGTCTACAAACGACAAGCAGACACGCCAGGAGGGGGCGGAGATCAACAAGTCACTGCTTGCGCTGAAGGAGTGTATCCGGGCGCTGGACGAGAAGAAGAAACATGTGCCGTTCCGTGGCTCGAAGCTAACGGAGATACTCCGCGACAGTTTTACAGGGAACAGCCGGACTGTCATGATAGCAAACATCTCTGCCTCTTCCTGCAGCTACGACCATACTGTGAATACGCTACGGTATGCCTTCCGCGTTAAGGGCCTCAGCATTGCCAATATTGTGCCAAGCAAAGCGCGTAATGCACCGCGGCCGATGCGACAGGCCGTCAGTGAAGTCCCACCGCTGCTCAATTTTTCCAACATTGCCGCGGCCGATGGACCGGCAGGAAAGGCAAAGACACCCCCGACGGGTACAAATGGCCGACGCGGTTTAAGTACACAGAGGGGCAGAAGCTGCACACCAAAAACAGGCAACCTCAACGTCCAAAGCGGTAACATGAATCCGATTCATCAAAGTACGATAGGGGACACGCACGCCGACAAATTCTCCACGTACCTTCGTGCGGTGACGCATGAGAAGTTGTTGGATTTGCTCCCACCGGCCAAATTACGGGAGATGCTGAATAAAGATACCAGCAATCGAGATGGCGGTGCCGGCACATCGGAGAGTTCCACTGTTTCTTTGGAGGAAAAGCAGCTGTTGGCAGAGATGGTCAGCCATGTGGTAGAGAAGTTGAAAGTTGAACTTGGGTCTGATCTTACACAGAATATAAAGAAGCGTGATCGGCTTATTAGGAAACTTCGCGACGAAAATGGCGCGCTGCGAAGAGCCATTGTTACGCTGGAGAAGAGGGTTGGAGAGTGCCCGCGTTGCAGACAACGGGCGAGATCAAATTCCATCTCATAACCGCCAATTGTCACTTGTAGGTTTTTTCTTTATTTTTCTTTTCTTTTTTTTGCGCTTGTGCAGGCTATTTTTTGTTTGTGTGTTTGTTTTTATTCGTCATACATTATACATTATACATTATATATATATATATATTTCTGTGCATACATGTGTTTGTATGCGTATATGTGTTGTATGCGGTGCTATGTGAAAGTATGTATGCGGGTGGTGGTGATCTGCGGAGGGCAAATGGCTGCATTAGTCTGTTATGAATCCTCCTTAATTTTTTTTTGGCGTGTCTCGTCTTGACAATAATCCAGCGTTGGTGGGCAGGACGGTTGGATTACAGGCACTCTGTGGGACGGTGGAAAAAAGGGGAAATGAGACGAATGCCGGTTGGGAAGCATGACGATTACATGAGGTGGCTCTTTGAATAGGACGCATTTATGGTGGGTGCAGGGCGATCTGTTTTTGCTTTTTTTTTTTTTTTTGATAATTTCCTGAAGGAATACAGATGCACCCAAATAATTGAGGAGCCTGCGTTGGCATACAGACGTACACGTGTACAGATATTGCATGATTAGCCAAACTGGGCAATTTATATGTGTATATCTGCGTATTTGTGTGTGCGTGTGATGTCATCTGTTTTTTTTTCTTTACACCCCGGTCCGTTTTTGTTTTTTTATTGCACCGCATGCTTCTCCGTATCATATGAATCAGACAACCACCGGGGTAACATGGATTGAAAGAGACGAGAAGGGAAAGGGTGATATATATTATATATTATATGTATATTATATTATAAATATATATATACATATAACTTTGTTTTTGGAATGGAAGAGTGATACGCAGTGTTGGGGAATGTGTGTTTTATTATTATTATTAGTGATTTATATCTCATTGTGAAGGATATGCGCAGTGGAATTGTGTAGTTTCTGACGTGTGTGCGTTATGCGGCAGCGCATTAGTGAGCCTCTTTTTTTTTTTTGTGTGTGCGTGTGTGTGTGTGTGTGTGTTTGATTTATTTTGCCAACATAAAAACACATATTTCTTTCTTTTTGAATTGCCTATTATTACTATTTATTTATAAATGTTTTTTTTTTTTTTTTTTGCGTTGGACAGCCGTTGCTGTTTTTCTTCGTTATTGAGGGGTCGTGTGTGAGTGGGGGGTGGAGGCGATATTCGGTCGTTTTGTTTTTTTCTTGACACGTGAGAGACGTGTTGGCTTTTGACGGCTGTTTTTTATTATTTCTTTTACTCTCTCTCTCTATGTGTGTGTGTGCGTGTGTTGGTTCACAGTGTGTGTGTGTGTGTGAATGAAGGGAGAAGGTGCTGACAGGGATGAGTGGCTGGTGGGCCTGCAGCTCTTCATGGATGTGCGGCTTCGAACCGTGCCGTTTCACGTGGCGTCTCGTAATCGTCCCGGTGTGTCTGTCCCCCTGCCGATTCCCAACACGCAGTACATCATGGATGGAATCATGTGGAGCGTGCGTGATTACATTGCGTGGGCTCCCGATGCCTGGCTGACGATTCAAAATCATCTACAGAGCTGCTCGCAGCGCTACACCCAGCTGGCTGAACGGCTGTCACAGTCTCATGCACACACTAATTTCCAGGACGGTGCGGAGGTGGAGCGTGAGCGTCTCTACTCCAGCCACGCATACGTGCAGGACCTTTACGTTGCCTTCTGTGCCGTTGATGCCTTTTTACGCCATGTTGCAGAGGCGTCGCAATCGACTGCACGAGAGGCGGTCGAAAAAGAGCTGCCGCGTCTTGTAGCTGACCACATGCCTATCTGGCAGCTGGCACGCAGTCAATATATGCACGATGCTGTGGAGGACTACCGGCTACTTTTTTTGGACGTGCTGCGATCGTGGACGGTGACGAAACTTCTGCGCCCCGACACGCATCGTCGAATAGAAGAGTACGTGCGGTATAAGCTAAAAACACTGCGGGACAACTCCACGACTCATGAGGGCGACCAGAACGTTGGCCGCCGTTCGTCAGAGGCAATTAGCGCCGGGTTGCGTGTGCTGCTTTCTGGCACGGGGCCGTCGCAGTCGTCGACCTCATTTCTCTCCTCCTCGTCCCCGTCGGCACCCGCAACAATTGACGTCGTGCGGAGAAATATGAGAGAATTTGTTGTTGCCATTTTTCCTTCGCATCGTTCCGATTCTGGGAAGAAGCGCTGCGCCCATTGCGGCGCCGTATTCAGGACTCTCGCTGCAAAGATTGCGCATTACCGCTACCACTTCTACAACCGCAGTTACTTGACGGGGGAGAAAATTGTTCGTCTGCCATACCCCACACTTCAGGACTACATCTCTCACGAGGTGACATCC